GTTTTGAGGGCTGTGAGGTTCACTTATCATCTTTGATAAAAAACAAAAAGTTGGGAATGTAAGGTGTTTTTAACTCTGCCACCACCATTAATTCTACAGATGACATGATAATATTATTAGAATTTAGAGGAGGCCAAGTTCACATACTAATGTCTCCTGAACAATTATTTTAATTATAATATTTTCAACTTTTCAGGTATTACGGGAAACAAAAGCACTTATGACTGAGAATTAGTGGGATATAATGTGGGGATGTGGTCATTCAAAATTAAATTATCACCAGCCAACTTTGAGATTACCCATATGCCATTACTAAATAATCAAGATCCTTATTGAAGTAATTAAAGGATAGATTCTGTATAAGTTCAATTGAAACAAAACAAATACTGCTTTTACTTGTATTATTAATACACTGTTTCAGTTACAGTAAGTCCCCTATTGATATATTTAAAGAACATTTTAGTAGCAGCTCAAGAGGGGTCTGTGACTGTTTGGTGAAAACTGAAATTGATGATACTGAAGATTGTATCTTTGTGAAAGAATTTGATTTGTATAATGAGAGGTTGTTGCAAATTGGTTCATTTGCCATATCATGTTCTTCAGATCAAAGCCGTAAGTATTGAAATTTTTGAGATAGAGTAGTTCAAACATTTGTCTAGAATAAAAGGTGTCCCCAATAAATATCTGAATCTGAAGCCAATTTGATACATATTTATGTATAATTAATTAATCAATAATTGAAATAAAATGCATTTACTAGCCTCAGTATGTATTGCATGAACACAACTTTGATTAATGATAAATTACTAATTCAGATTAAAATATTGTATTTCACATATCTGAAATATTAAACATAATATATTATTCTCTTGCTTATTAACATCTGCTTGTCTGCTTTAACGGTACTATACTATCAGTGCGAAGGCGGTATAGCAGAGTCTCGAAGCATTGGATCCTCACCTTAGTACCGGCGCTACATGATGTCACCTGAAAGTTACTCATTCGATGTTGCTGATGAATTTCATGGCTACAAGAAGTTCTCAGGAAATACGAGACAAGCCGTGTTTTGATTGTGAACCCACATGACTTTTTCCGGAGGTGTGTGCTAAAATGGATGAGCAGAATTGTTTTTACGCTACCGACCTTATGGAACACGGAACCGCCTGTAGGAGGCCTACTGGCGCTTTTGGGTTGGCAATAATCTGTTCTACCACAGTCTACTACTGTTTAATCTTTTGGGGAATATCTGTTGTCTATCTGTCAGTTTTCTCTTAATACTTTACTTAAACTAACCTAAATCGTTGAACGAGTCCGTCGCCCACTCGTTCTTAAACAGTTGCCATATCCCATAGACAGGAATTCGTTGTTGTGCACACAAATCATGTGAGGTCTCAGTTTTAAATTGATTTTATTGGCTATCTCGCCCTTCAAATCAATATACGGATACGTCTTCGCGGCATTAATAGACGGGTTGGTGGTACTAATCGTGCCGGCTAAACCACAATTGGCTGCTAACCACCATGTAATCACGCAAAATTAAAATCTTAGCGGCGGTTTGATTTTTTTAAATTGTGGGATGTCATTCATCAAGAAGTCTTCTAAGTACGGTGTTTCATTAGAAAAATTGCTGGTACCTGTCTCTGGGATTTCAACAACGAATCATATATTTTGTAAATCAAACAAATTCTACGTTTCAGAACTATAATTATTCAATGAAAGCCATGTTTCGTAACTATACATTCATTACATTTTCAGAAATCAAAACAAATGATGCGAAAAATTACTGGAATTAGTAAAATCAAATTGTTACAACAATAGTGATGTGTGTGTTGTGATTAACATTGGAAGTATTGTTTATGATTTTTTTGAAGCTTACAATAAGAATGAACCAACTGCTCTGAATGATTATGACAAAATAAAACCATTATTAATTGATTTGAAGAAAGGTTAGTAAATTTATATACAGGGTCCCACAATGCGTATATTAAACAGCGAACGTGGTTAGAGTAACAGACATTGTTAGTATACGTTTAAAAATGTTAAAAAAATCCAAGTCGTAATTAGTAGTTTTGTACAGAAAATAAATTTATTAATTGTGTGAATTGTTCAGTTTTTTTTCTCCTACCTAAGCTGATGTTTAGAGAGAACCATGGTACGTCGCCGGCTAGTAGGTGAGCTCACGGACCAATTCCTGGACACGTGCTATATCACGAACCCCTAGCAAGAGACGTGCTTCGCCAGAATTACACCGTATCGAAAACCGACCAATGCAGAAAATCCGTCGCCGAAAATCAGTGGACTGTCTCTGGGGTTAAATTAAGCTCGAGCCTTCGTTGCAAACGACGGGTTTCACCGAAAGTGGTGCCTGGGGCTACCTAAAAGCGATGGGCATTGCGGTGCCCTCGTCGCGCGTCATGAAAGGAACATGTTGCTACGTTGATTATGGCTAACGACGCTCCTCAGTGCGTCTGCTCCTGGGGAAGCGCCTTATGTTCGATCTTCTGCAATAGAGCAAGAGCCCGCGACAGCCAGACCTTCGTTATTTTATAAAAGCTGAAAGTTTCTCTGTTATGTCTCCAACACAGGTAAGAACGACCCGCGATTATAGAGTTCCGATTGTGGTTACTTGGGCAGGTAACAGGCAGTAAAGGTATATAAAATAGTACCTTAAATTGTTAAAGTATAAAGGTTTATTTTTTTTAATATTTACTCCATGAATATCTAGAAATCACGATATCCGTTGCCGCGACACTTTTTCCAGTTGTTACCCCCTGCCAGCACCCCTAAACTTTAATAAATTTTAATTATACTTTCGTTATACTATAAAAGCTAAATTTTATATATGTTACTTAGGGACTTATAAAAATATGTTACCCCAATAGCCGGACAGTTTTAATGGTTCTTACATCTTGCCAGACACATTGAGAGCCCGCTGTAGGTGCGAGCACGAGGTAGCAACTGTTCAAGCGGGTGTGAGCGAGATAGAGTGCTTAGTCTATTGTGATCTTTTAAGATATCCAATAAAAAAATTATTTTATTACGTTCATAGCAATATTATAGAAAATAAAAAAGGTTATTTTAATATTATAAAGTACAAACAAAATATTACATGTCAAAGAAAAATATTTAATCGTTCTTATAATTTTCCTCATTGTCGTCGATATTGAATGAGTAGTCGGAGTCGGCCTGAGGGGCCTACGAGGGGGGGCATAGCTACTACCGTATCCGATTTGAGAGTACGAGCTAAGCGGTAGTAAGACCTTTGAGGGGCGAGAGTCCTTCTAAAAATCAGACCATCTGGCATCTCGGACTTCGGCGATGCGAGACTTTACGTTCGCGTTGTAGGGACGCATTGGTACGATTTTCCACTGTAACTTTCGCTCGAGGATACCTGATCGTAGGCGCGGATCGAAGGCGTTCTTAGCTCTAAGGAGTTCCCTAATATCGTCGGGCAATTTGAAGCGGTGAAGGAAGTCCTCCGCTACAACTTGCTTCGATGACCTATCTAATGTCGAGGTGATGTGTGACGTTACGATGTCTATGGCTTCAGCGGTATCCTGAGGAGACGGGATAGAGTCCGGGTAAACGGGAGCGATGGTGGATCAGATTCAGCCAGGCTGATGCCCAGCGTGTGCCAATCCACACGTCCTCGTGACGGGAACGGAATCGGGACGGGGCGCGCCGAGCTTCATAATGACGGGGCGGTGGTCTGAATCTAACTCTAAAACTACTTCGATCGAGTGTAAGCGCAGAGTTACGTTTTTTAATAACGCTATGTCGAGTAACCGCGGTGATGCTGCGATATTTAGGGGTAGTGAGTCGGGGTTAGCGAAGCGATGATATTCGAAGGCGAGATCATCGACTAACGCGTCGAGCCCCTGCCCATTAGCGGGTTGTGGTGTGTGAGTTCCACCTGATGCTGTTTACAATTTAGGTCGCCCGCCAGAAATGACAGATGCTTCCCATGCCGAGTAGCGCCTCGATATCACTGCTTAGAACGGATAAATCCTATAAACGATAGCTATGTGCAGTAAAAGATCACAATAGACTAAGCTGTTAGAAATCAAGCAACATGCTTTTCATTTACTTGTACTAAATGCTCATATAAAAACAATAAATATACATTTTTATAGATAATATTTACATGTCTATAATTGGAACAGGAAAGAACACTTGATCTTTTACGTTTATGTGTGTTTTGGAATAAAAAAAATATTTTCACTCGCACTGGAATCGAAACAACAAAATATCAAACGCCGGAATGGCCACTATTTAGTGATGCCAACAGTTAAAAAAATAATAATAATGCGGTCGAATAAATTAAAATTTGATGTCGTTTTATCGCGTCCACAGAAAAGACTCCGTTTCATGTAACCATAGGTTTATTGGATTTATTGTATACAGATAGTAACGATATATTTTTTTTATTCTCAATATTATCATCTTTATTATATTGTTTGTGTTACAAGTAAATAATTTTAATATATAGGGTACTTTAACTATTTTTAAACATGGCTCAAACATTATACCTTCGTCTTGTAACAGTCCACAGGAAGAGATTTTTTGATGTTTAACGCCATCAAAATGAACTTATGAAATGTAATATTTTACAAGATACGATTAAAATGAGTAGTAATATAGTACCTTTACGATTTAAATACTTTCAAATATTCGCCAATTTGCTCTTTTAGATGATACATTGCTATAACACTTTTTTTACCCTTTTTGTGTATGACCCATCTACATGTATTTTCTACATGGATACCAAGTTTCAAGTCAATCGGATGCATGGTAGTTATAACGGAACATCCGTAATAACCACTGTAGAATTATATATTAGTATAGATATAGATATTGTCTACAAGTCTTATTTCGAATAAGACATTGTTAACTACTCAATTGTGCCATTGCCTAATCCACCTTTAGTGCTGTTCCACGCTTCTAGTTCTAATACTAGCAGCAGCCTAGTAAAATCAACGTACAGTAGAACACGTCAAAGATATGATCCCTAGCCTATAATATCTGCTTGCTAAGTTCCTTATTGGAGTTGTTACGACCTCCTTTGGAAACGATCACTTGATATCCCACCTTTACTGCTAAGCCGGTACTGGATGTGCATGCAAAATATTTTAACGGCCACCGAACTTTATCGTTATCTCCATTCCAAAAAAATATGCCAATGAAGTAATTTACAATAGTGCAATGCTCCTATCAAATAAACCGGTATACCGCCATCTATCGAGCGTTGAGTAAAGTTTAAAAGTACTACATTTTCTCTAGAGTTCAAATTTGTTCTGCTATCCATTATGTTTTAGTTTTTTTTACGGCAAATACTTGCGGTCCTCTTACAATGTAAGTATATAAAGCTCACGGGGCTTAAACCTGACGACGTTGCTGACACACTAACCCTAGCAAGAGCAGTGCTTCGCAGAATCTACCACCGGATCGGACATGATTGAATTGTGTGTAAATTGATCCTTCCTTCCTCTTCACGACCCACTCGCCCATGCGAACATATCCGTATCATTCTATCACCCCTAAGTAATAAGACCGAATTTGCGAATTAAGAAAGAAATTTGATTAGGATGTTGCCACTACGAGCAGATGCCTGAATATTGTTAGTAATACGAACAGACTGCTGTCTGTGGTATATTATCATTAATACCCAAATATATAATAATCCTATGACGTCGTCTTTCTATCGTTTTTTATTTTTATTTTTATAAACACAAGAGAAGGTTACTTTTTCTTTTTTTTCCTAACTATGCTGATAGCCTTGAGAGGCTATTTCAGCTTCGCCCTAACGTTTGTAGGTGAGCTCGCGGAGCTCAAACCGGAGAGTTGCTAACACTGACCCTAGCAAGAGCAGTGCTTCGCAGAATCTACCACCGGATCAGAAACGCGACCCACTGAGAAGATCCGGCGAGAAACTCAGTGGGCTGTGTCTGTGGGTTAGTTCGCTCGTCAAGCCCTTCGTCGCAAGCGACGGGTTCGACGAGGACGGTGACCGGTGCTTGTGGTGCCTAAAAGCACCGTTAATGGATCAGGAGGATCCGTAATGACGTGCTTTGGGCGACGTCGACGGTTTACCATTCGGTCTACTGGGTCGGGTATGTAGTTTCCAGCGGCTGCGATGAGAGGGTTCTCATGTCGTGCCGCCTTCTCAAAATGGCGCATAAGGTTACAATGCGCCCTACATATTAGTAAAAATAAATTTCTAGATTTTGCCATTTTTATTTTTATTAACATGATTTTATAATTAATATAAATATTTTATTATTACAATATATATATGTCGTGGATAACGACTTTTAGTTGTCGTGGATAACGACTTTTAGTAATATTAAGACGGTGGTTTTGATTATTATTTTAAATGATGAGATGTTGTTTTGATAAATATCACAAAATGAAGGGTAGACTACGTAACGCCACAGTATAAAATGGCGGTACGTGGACAGAGTCGTGGCATTCCGTGTCAGACAGTCATTCCGTNGAAAAACGAATTATTGACTTTGTATTCCATTGGCAGTCACAAAACTCTTCGGAACGACATCTTAGATAAATAACAGGTTAACTATTAACCTTTATTTAATGCAGGTTTTGAACCGTATTCTTTGAAGGAGACGATTATATTCAAATAAATCTGTATTGACATATCAATAAATTTTTTTTGTCCAAATGCACAGATTGCCTTTGATAATAGACGACTCATATGTACTGCAAGCAGTATACGATACTCTAAAGTTAGAAGAGCAGCTATTTTTTTTTTATTCTAAGTCCTAAAGCTATTATTTTCTCTTTTATTTTGGGTAACATATAGGCGACCCCCACACCTATCGTATGCCATATCATCAGGTAAGACACCAGGAAGGATCAGCTTAGGAAATAACTAAGGACTCGGAAAACAAACTAGGATTTTTAGTGGTTATAAATCTTTTCAGTATATAAAATCTCTTCGATTTAATTAGCTTCGAACTTAGTGAGATCGAATTCATGTCGTCGTGGCCTAAAGGATAAATACGTCCGGTGCATTCGTGTCGAGCGATGCACCGGTGTTTCGAATCCGGCGGGCGGGTACCAAATTTTCTAATTAAATACGTACTCAACAAATGTTCACGATTAACTTCCACGGTGAAGGAATAACATCGTGTAATAAAAATGAAACCCGCAAAATTATAATTTGCATAATTACTGGTGGTAGGACCTCTTGTGAGTCTGCGCGGGTAGGTACCACTACCCTGCCTATTTCTGCCGTGAAGCAGTAATGCGTGGGCTGTAAGCTCGTCCACCCATCTAAGCAATAAAAAAAAGAAAAGAATAAGAATGGTCTTACGTTTCTAGCGACAGATCCGAGTGTTATCGAAGTCATAACGGCTCCCATGTCACCTATGCTCCTGAGTACACCGCCCTCGGCTGAAACAAATATTGTACAATGCAACATGCACCTTAAACAGATTAACATAAAGTTCAATTTTCTCCAAAGGAAAGCAATTTATATGAAAGGATTTAACAGTCGTATAAATATCAAAGCTGGCATGATAACAGTCTAGTAGTAAGAGTTTGAAATAGTAACCGTTCTAGCGTGGTGACCCGAAATTAATTTCTTAGATAGACTGACAGCTCACTGATGCTCATAAATAAACCTCTGTTTATGGAAATCCTTACAACTCATCATGCCAGATATCGACAAGACGCACTTTCAAATCGTTCGACAGATATACTTACGCTGTGGCGACTCCTTCTCTTGTGTTGCTTGCAAACAAAAAAATCTTTAATGTAATAATAGATTTCATTTATAAACAAATTACTACCTACCCCCAAATCTCGTTTAAAATCTTTCGTAGATTCTCATACTGACACTCCAGTTTTCAGCCCAGTCTGTACTAGGGAGGGATTTTCGTAGCTGTGTAGAAGAGTTCATAGCTCAACTTGTATTAATCGGTCACTGGGCATCATAACATGACTACAGTCATCCACCTCGGGACGTAAGATATATCTAAGCAGTAGAAATAGGTAGAATGGTGTCACGCTAAACTAGCTGAGCCAAATCGTTTTTGTTTTTATTTTTTTTATTGCTTAGATGGGTGGACGAACTCACAGCCCACCAGGTGTTAAGTGGTTACTGGAGCCCATAGACATTTACAACGGAAATACGCCACACACCTTGAGATATAAGTTGTAAGGTCTCAGTATAGTTACAACGGCTACCCCACCCTTCAAACCGAAACGCATTACTGCTTCACGGCAGAAATAGGCAGGGCGGTGGTACCCACCCGTGCGGACTCGCATGAGGTCCTACCGCCAGTAATTACGCAAATTATAATTTTGCGGGTTTGATTTTTATTACACAATGTTATTCCTTCACCGTGGAAGTCAATCGTGAACATTTTGTCAAGTACGTATTTCATTAGAAAAATTGGTACCCGCCTGCGGGATTCGAACACCCCGTGCATCGCTAGATAAAAATGCACCAGACGTCTTATCCCTTAGGCTACGACGACAACTAGTATGCCACGGCGGCTCTAGCTCAGTGGTGGATCATCGACTTGAATGTTACTCACATTCGACCTCCCCGGACAGGGCGTTGGTCTCGTTGAGGAGATCCATGGCGGTGACGCAGTCCAGGATGCTGAGCAGAGTCTTCGTCAAACGGAGTAGGTCGCTGAAGCTTTGAACGGAAACATTCAAGCACCAGAATTAGACACAAGCGGCGCGCTTACGTCACTAAACTATAGAAAATCATTGATAGTTGTCAGCAGTGAGCACTGGTGATCACATCCCTCCCGCGATGTATCCTGGGTCAGTCACAATGTGTTTTCGGAACAAGAAATACACGTAGTTATTTTTTTTTATTGCTTTGATGGATGGACTATTTCACAGCCTACCTGGTGTTAAGTTGTTACTGGAGCCCATAGACATTTATGACGTAAATGTGCCACCCACCTTGAGATATAAGTTCTAAGATCTCAAGTATGATTAAATATTTAATATTTAATAAGAGAATTTCACTCCAGTGTCCCAAGGCGGACGGTGGTGTTGTTGCTACGGACCACCGACTCTTTTGAGCACCGGATCAGAGCTTTGACAAAAAAAAAAGTTGTCTAGTTAACTAAAGAATGTTGTTCAGACTAATGAGTGTCAGTGACGCTCTCGGAGACAAAAATATCGCTAACAATCTCTGACACGATAATAATAAAATAAATACCTAATAAACAAAAACCATGTTCTTCTTGAAGTCAACTACATATAACATTACAATACACATATAAACAGACGAGGGTTCAACAACCTCGTCCGTTACGTGACGATTACAGCTTTATATTAAGAGAGAAAGAGAGAGAGATATGTTTAATTCTGTTTCATTATGTACCTGTAAAATCCGAAGTAAATGAGTTCCCGGGCGAGTTTGACCACTTCGAAGGTCAACTTGTTCTGGTCGTGGTCACTGAAGTACCAGGTCCTGCTGACCACGTTGCAGAGGTACTTCTCAACGAAACGTATCGTTCGAGCGAATTGTTCCTTTACCTTCTCTCTGTTCGCGTCCGGGCCGCCCTTCACGCATTGGTAACTGAAATATACATAAAATAACCATTTATTAATTGACATTTTCATCTAGGGGCGGGCAGCGGCCACTGAACCTGTGCTGTGAGTTCGTTAGACCGTTGAAGAAAAAAAAAATGGTGCACATGAAAGAAGTGAAACTTCTTTTTCGGCGTGTATTACGGTTTTCTTAATATCTCATCCTTAAATCAAATTTATCTTGTAATAAGGAATGCTGTGTATAAGAGAAACGATAGTTCGCTTTGTCCTTTCCCTCTCTCCACGGTCGAGTGGTTCGCGAGACGCTCTGTCCATTTTCTCACTCTCGCTTTTAGTAATTGTATCTTTTCTTTATAGACGTAACGAATGTTCGCGAATTAAATTTTACTCTCAACGCGCCTATAGAAGTTTCACTTCAAAAATGATAATTAAAATTGTTACCTTTTCTCTCTAGTCGTATCACGAGTTTAATGTAACTCTCAACGCGCTTAAAGAAGTTGCACTTCATGCACTTCAAAAATGATAATTAAAATAGTAAACACATGTACTGACTCGTGGATGTGTATGCGGTCGATGACCTCGGTCCAGAGGCGCGCGTACTTGACGGGCGTGACCGGCTCCTGCGGGTCGCGGTCGGCGTGCAGGTGCAGCATGAGCCGGCAGAACGACGCGCGCACCTCGTACGACAGAGACGAGTTCGACATGCACCTGTGCGCAATCGTGTTTAAGGTTCATTATTGATTGACACTTTTTTTAATACTCTTTTATTAGCTTCAGAAGTATGTATGTTTGTAACGGAATCTTTGAACATGATTTTTTGACCCCCTTCAAAACGTCGGATTAACTCGAAATTTAGTATACTTATTAAGGACCGAAAATAATACAATATTTAAAAAAAAAATTGAAAAAATTGAAATTCAACTAAAAAATTCAAAATAAATTCTAATAAATTTGAATTAAAAATAGTGTAAGAAAAAATGATTTTATTGTAAAAAAGTGTGAGGTGCTTTTCAGGATATTATCAAAATAACCCTCCTACTCCTACTATATCTGTTCATAAAATATTTATAACTACTTATACCACGCACCCCATGGTTTTTTTTACAATAAAATCATTTTTTCTTACACTATTTTTAATTCAATTTTATTAAAATTTATTTTCTGTTTTCTAGTTGGATTTTCTATAAAAGCGTATTTTGTTAGTTTTTTAAAGCTATTATTTATTTAGGATCACTTTCTAGATGGGACGGTGTATAGGATTTGTTAATGGCCCGAGCGCTTCCGAAGGAGACCTGTCTAGTTGTTTCGGAAATGAATCCACTGTCGGAACTGAATCGCGACCCGGATAACATCTGGAGAGAAACTCAGCAAACTGATCACGTTTCACGTCTAACCCTTCCGATAGTTACCAGGGTTCCTCCTTCTAGTTAGTGGATCGGGTGAATCACAAATTAGGATGTGTTGATGTCTTCCAAGGTGATTGAATAAAACAGTGTAAAGAAAATAAAAACAAAAAATTTACAATTGACATATCAGACTTCCTATTTCAAGGTAGGTGACAGCATTCACGTTATGATATCTATAAGCTTCGGTTACCATTTAACACCAGCCGAGCTGTAATCACGCATCTACGCAATACAAAAAAAAAAAAAAACAATAGAATCATTGACATTAAGCAACAAATCTGGCTTATTGGAAAGTTCATTGACACAAAATCGCGACAAAAACCCGTCAGAATCAAGGGGCTCTAATTTCTTCTTGCCCTTATCCCGACTATGAGGGGTCGGTGGGGCATTACCCCTTTTCCGTACAGGTTTATTGGACTTCATACCCGAATCTCCCGTCTCTCGCATATCCTCTGTCACACTCACAACAATATGAGGTCGATGTGGAGCTGTGGGGACAGCGTGTTGAGCGCCAGGTATTGTCTGTTGAGACACATGTTCGAGAACAGGTCGAGCTGGTGCCGATAGTAGTCCAGGATGGCGGCGGCCTCGCTGTTGGGGTCCAGGCGAGCCTCGGCCGCGAGGTCCGTCAAGTATCTTTGATTCTGGAACAATGCAATCAAGTACATTAATGGGTCTTCGCGAGTCTAAGATCTAATTTAAACAGGTCAGTCAGTTTTTTTTACTGCCATAATCAAACTTTGACGGATAACACCTAAGTCGTCCCTGCTAACAATACTGTAGAGTATTCGTTCCGAAATATATATATATATATATATATATATATATATATATATATATANTAAAGTCTGATTTTTTCCTACCTAAGCTGATAGCCTTGAGAGGCTATTTCAGCGTAACCTTATCTAGTAGGTGAGCTCACAGGTCTCAAGCCTGATGACGTTGCTAGCACGAACCCTAGCAAGAGTCGTGCTACGTAGAATCTACCACCGGATCGGAAACGCAACCCACTGAGAAGATCCGGCGAGAAACTCAGTGGGCTGTGTCTGTGGGTTAATTTACTCGCCGAGCCCTTCGTCGCAAGCCACGGGTTCGACGAGAACTATGACCGGAAGGTCTGTTGCTATGCAAACTATGCGCTATTCAAACTTCACTCGGACATGTACGTGCTGAACTCACGGAGTTCAAGCTGAGAGAGTTTGCTAACACTGGCTCTAATAATAAAAGCAGTCCTTCGCAGAATCTACCATCGGATCGTAATCGCGACCCACTGAAGAGATCCGGCAAGAATCTAAGTGGGTTGTGTGGCAAAAGTAATAAAAAAAGTCATAAATTTAAATAACAATAAACAAAAGAACAGACACCCAAGTCGTATTAATATTAAATAGACGATGACCGAACTTTGCTCGGTTTTTTTTTGATAACGCCATCTTGTTGTGTTTTTAAAGCGGTTAGTTGCCCTCAATTAAGAAAAATAGTATTATTATTCGCCAATAGATGTCGAGGAGAGTTGATTATTGAAAACACGATAAAGCAACATTTTCTGAAATTAACATTTAGCTGGATCGATTTGTCGCCCCCGAAATCCCTTGTATACTAAATTTTATGAAAATCGTTGGAGCCGTTTCCGAGATTCAGATTATATATATATATATATATTAATATACAAAGACAGAACAGAATTTACAGAATTTCTGTAAATAAAACGGTTGTCTGGAAGTGATCGCTTTTAGCAATAAGACCGCCTATTGTACATACGTGCTTTTTGACTGTTTTTTTGAATGTAAATTGTGTTGGTGTGCAAGAAAGTGTTTTCTCTCTCTCTCTCTCTCTCTAATATACAAGAATTGCTCGTTTGAAGGTATAAGATAAAATATTTATTACCTTTTTGTTGTTCCAGAACAGCATGACTCTCTGCTCCACGCTGCACTTGGATTCATCGGGGTCCGACATCTTTCCTTTTTCTTTATATTTAATGGATACCAGCCTGTAAACGGGTTAACCAATTTAATAATTTTATATAAAAAGTACGACACAAAAAAATCACAGCGAACGGTTTTCGAAATCAACAGATATTATGAAATAAAATTTTCTTCGTGATTAACATGTTTATGACAAAATAGATTATGTTTCAGGCCACCAGATGTCGCTTAGTTAGTCTGGGCTGTTGTTGTCCCCGCAGGTCCACGAGCCCCTACTCTCCACCAGGTGGGCCGTAAGCTCGCCTGTCTACCAATAAATCAGAGAAAAATATGGATGTTTCGATTGAGCAATGTTTGTTTTCATTATCGACATTTTTCTATTCAAATATAACCGTATTTTTCATTTATTATTTAGACGGTTAATCGAGCTCATGGGTCTCTCAGGGTTAAGTGGTTACCGGAGCCCATAGACATCGACAACGTAAATGCATCACCCACCTTGAGCTATAAGTTCTAAGGTATCAGTATAGTTACAACGGCTCCCCCACCCTTCAAATAGAAACGCATTACTGCTTTACGGCAGAAATAGGCAGTGTTACGCATCCGTGCGTGCTCACAAGATATACACAGCAGTAGACCTCAAAGCTTTCGCGTCGTGTGTTACATTGAGAAGGCGCAGTCCACCGACCTGGTCTCGATGAGTATGTCGGAGTTGTTGGCGCAGAGCACGCTCTTGCAGATGAGCTCCTGCGTGACGGCAATAGCCTTCTTGTTGGAGATGCACAGGTCGCTCAGGTAGTCCAGGAACCGGGACTGCCAGGTGCGCATGTTCTTTCGGACCAGACCTGCAAGACATCAGACCACAAATCAAATTAAATAAAAAAAAGTTTATTCAACACTAGCTGACATTTTTACATATATAGATTACAACTCTGACGTCACTGCATATGCAACAGCCCGCTGGCCGACCGGGTACGTGCGCGCCTCACCTACGAAGGTCTCGATTTCGGATGCTGTGATGTGTTTCTCCAGAAGCTTCCTATTGTTGTGCAACAGGGCGGTGATCGTGTCCTCAGCTAGGATGTCGTACCCTATCTGCTTCTGCATGAACCCGAAGTGCTTCGCTATGTACTCCTGAAAAACGAATAAACGATTCATTGAAAAATAAAACTATCATCATCATTCTCCTGCCCTTCTCCCAGTCGTCACGGTCGGCGCAACATGTTTTCTCCTTCCATACTCCTCTATTATATACCATTTCTTCGCTCACTCCCTTCTTACCCATATCGTCTTTCACGCAATCCATCCATTTCTTCTTAAGTCTACCTCTTCCTCTATATCCTTCCACATTTATAGTTAAAACTCTCTTACCAACCTCATTGTCATTTCGTCTCATCACAATATGTCCATACCATCCCAAACGCGTATTTCTCAGCTTCTCTGTCACAGATGCTACTTTCAGACTTCCTCTAACATATTCATTCCGTATTCGCAGACGAGCATACAGCCCATCTGATGGCGAGCGGTTAGGTTACTGTCGCCCTTGGACTTCAGCAATGCCAGGGGCAGAGCCAAGCCGCTGCCTACCTTTAAGTACTCTCTACAAGCCTCGTTTGAAGAAGGACATGTCATAGCGCTCGGTAATCACCGTGGAGGGGAGCTCATTCCAAAGCCGGATGGTGCGTGGCAAAAAAAGATCTCTAGAAACGCACTGTGGAATGTGGATGACCGCAGGTAGTGTGGATGAACTCTACTCTACTAAAAACGAAATGACGGTATCATCTCAACCAATTCCTTAGAGCACTCCCCATGGGACATACGGTACAAAATTCGATGGACGATCTTGCCTTTCTCGTTGTCTCCCAAACTGTTTTAATAGTTAATAAACTCTCTAGTCCTTTTGGTAGTTTTACGGACGCCATGGTATTGAAGGGAATGTCCAACCTGGTTCTTCCTGTAGTCCTGCTGACTGAGCCGCAGGATCCTGTAGCAGAGCCGGAAGATGTTCTTGTAGGGAGCGTAGCGCGTGTCGTTCAGCTCCTCGATCTTGAGGAAGGGCTCCCCGTCGGCTGGCTCTTGGAACGGACCCTGGAGGAATTTTAAACGTCCTCATCTCTACTTCTACTGTTACTGGTGGTAGGACCTCTTGTGGTCCGCGCGGGTATCACCGCCTTGCCTATTTCTGCCGTGAAGCAGTAATGCGTTTCGGTTTGAAGGGTGGGGCAACCGTTGTAACTATACTTGATACCTTAGAACTTATGTCTCAAGGTGGGTGGCGCATTTACGTTGTAGATGTCTATGGGCTCCAGTAACCAATTAACACCAGGTGGGCTCGTGCTCACATCTAAGCAATAAAAAAATAAAAAAGATGTCTTTATAAACTGTTTTTTAAAAGTCTATTTATCGGTGGATAGCCTCTCGGCCTGTCTGTTAAATGAATTACCGCCACCCATCTTGGGACACGAGGTAAAGCTTGTAATTGTGTTTGATCGGAACTTATGCTTCTCGGTAGTGTAAACGTAGAAAATTGGATCGAAATTAAGTTTAATTAATATTTATTACATAGCCCGTAATGTAAAGCATTCAAAACAATTAACGCACGGTCGCACTTTGCTTTACATTGCTTCATCTATATCTACACTAATATTATGAAGAGAAAAGATTTGTTTGTTTGTTTGTATTGAATAGGCTCCGAAACTACTGAACCGATTTGAAAAATTATTTCACTGTTTGGAAACTACACTATTCCCAAGTGAAATAGGCTGTAATCTTTTTTGAAAAAAAAAAGGGATCTTTACCAAAACTCCAATAATGTAACCCAAGGAGTAAAAAAATTACCTAAAATTTTCTTTACATTGCGTGCCCTGCGAAAACTATTGATGATAGAATGAAATAATGTACTACGACTTTCTAGAACACATTATTATTTACAAAAAGTTTTACGACAGGATATGTCTAACTATTATAGTTGTGCCGCAATAAGTGTTCTTTTATTTAAATAAATAACACAACATCAAATATCGTTGAAATTTTTGTTAAACACCCGAGCGGAGCCGGAGCGTGCCGCTAGTGAATAATAAAATTATTAAAACAAATATTAAGGCTTCATTGCGTTTGTTTAGTAGTTTATAGGGTCCGCTCACGTGCTGTGACTACGCACTGTACTGACCTGTAATATTTTGAACAGCTGCCTCAGTATGTATTGTTCGCGTAATAGCTTCTGTCTGTCTCTGTGCGGGTTCTCGACGACCAGGTCTAAGGCTTCAGACTTATTCGGTTCGTTTTCGAAGCCCGCTATGAAGTAAACTATGTCCTGAAGCAGACACGTCAGTGCTCTGAAATGAAATTAATGTATGTAGAATGTTGAAACTACCCGACTATCTCCCGTGCTGTCCACAGTGTAAGTACGTTTCAATAGGTTTACTCAGTAGACGTGGTAAGTGAAAAGAAAAAAAATATATAATAAAAAAACATTATATACACCACCATGTATTTGACACACACACGCATACTATTTGTTCACTGTCAAACTTTTCTTATTGCGATCTGTGGTCAAATTGAGAATAGATTAAATATTGTTTGTCTTTATTAATATTGTTTAACTAAAGTGTAGTCTTGGCGAAATCTGTGATTATAGAAGTATAATAGTCTTTGACAATAGAATCATGATAGTCTTCGATCAACAATAGTAACTAGATTTCGGGTCGGTGCATAAAATCCGTCTCGTCAAATAACAGCGCACTTGAAATGTGAGCTCTTATTTTGTTTAGTTCACTTCGAACACAGCCAATGTCAACCCGTCTCACAATACCGCAGTGTGTATTCAAAAGTTGCAAAAATAAGGCCCGAAAAAGCAATTTCACGGCCGGAGTATCTTACTTTCGGTAAGTACATGAAGTATAAACTATATTGTAAGCTTTAAACTTATAAATAATATTAAATTTTGAACAAAATTACCGATTTTTAACCACCGCTACAAATGTTGGCCAAGGCTCGGCCAACACATGGACAAACTTTTGCTTAACAGAACAGTAAATGCATGGAGTAGATTTGTGTTGTAATAATTTTTTAAAATTTGTTAGCAGCACTTCAAAATTAGTTGGTTAAAATTGGTTAATGCTGCTTTTGTGTCTGTTTGTTGGACTCTCATTAGATACTTAGCTTTCCATTTTTATTTTAGCTTTCCTAGCAATCACGTGTGCAGAATGGATCTCGATTGTCGCCAGAGAAACAAGAGATGACTTTTATAAGCCAGCTAAGAACTCCGCTTATTGACACTGGACATCTTTGCCTTCCGTGCTCACGGCTACTGAAATGTGGCCGAAACATTGTAATAAAAATACCACGCTTGAAACCGTTTAAACGTTGTTTTATTATGTGCACTGGTCGCGAAAACTTAAAAATATATATTACACAAAAACGTAACGCTAATAAAATAATAAGTAATGTATAGATACTAACAAACATACATTTCCAAAACATAAAAAGTAAACAACTAAACTTTTACTTTAATTCATTAATAAATTATTTTAGTGTTAAGCGCGACTCCCTTACCTCCTGTAGTAAATAGAAATCGGCATTTCAAGAAGCAAAAATAAATAAAGCAAAACGATGTTAGTTCTCAGAGCAATTAAGGGAAAAGTTACTTTATTTGTTGCACCTTAAGATTGATTTAACATTAAAAGTTGTTTAAAATATGTCTTTTTATTGGTAAGTGACAGGAGTAATTTATTGCTTTGCTCGTTTTATGTGACGAATGATCGTAAGTATTAGATAATGTTTTGGAGATTTGTGACTTTATTACTAGGTGCCATAGTTGTTATTAGTTTGAAAGTAAAAGTGTTTCAAAACTTTTTTCTCCGTTTGTTAGTAAACGAATGTAGCTATATAAGTATATATTCACGCGGACAGTTTTTGCTTTAATTTTGTACGTATCCCTTTATCTAGTTACTATTGTTGATCGAAGATGATAGTGTACAAACTTATAATTTCAACTATTGTCGAATTTCGACTACCGGAAGACCACTAGTTATTCTGGATGGGCAGAAAGCTTGCCCCACGTGTACAGACATCCCACCACTGATGGTCGATGGCGAAGTCTCTGTAGTATTTTACAGCGGCTGTTCCCTACAGAGAATATAGACAGTCGTATGCGTGTGTATATGTAATTACTACTGATTGATTTTTTACTGAAGTAACGCGTGGGCACCTATCGATATATATATTTGTGAGTATTGATGATCACAGCGAGTGCACAGGACCGGTCGCAGTCTTTTGATTGGGGGCTGGCGTCCCCGTCACGTCAGTACAGAGCGCGTTTGATAAACAAACCGAGTGTCCCAACTAACTTTCTCTCGTTAGGTTCAATGGTGCCCTGCTGCAGTTTGGTGGAGAGCGCAGAGAGGACCTTGCAGGCGTCGTTGGCGAAATCCAGATCCCGGACCTCGCTCGGCGACACGGATATCAGGGCGAACGCTTCCTTATCTTCTTTCACCAACGAGCACCCCACCTGGAACACAGAGAATGCGTGATGCAGGCCGGACCTTCAAGCTTATCCGGGTTTAATTGAGCGCATAGCAGGCGAGGTTCCGAATTATCGTCGAGTGACTTTAGTAGGCTTCATCTCGACAGAAAGTCGATAAATATAAAAAAATAATTATTTATTGCATTGTCATTGGTACTTGATTCGTGTGTCAATTTTTAAGTTAATCGAAAGTCTTGAAGTCAATGACAATCGCTTTGAAATTTAGAGGTTAAATTTGTTACAAGTCATATTCGTGAAATGAAACGCAAAGGAAGATGCCGAGTGCGGCCCTGTTTATCTGATTCGTTGATTGATATTAATCCATCAGTGAGATAGATGTACAGAGTAGACCTACCACCATCTTGACTATTTCTGCCGCGAAGGAGTTATGCGTTCCGGTTTCAGGTACAATATACACATATTTTATTGAGACTTGACCTCATGTCTGAAGGTGGAGTTTATCCACAAAGTCCAAGTTTAAGAATACTCTCACCTTTGACATAACCGGTTTTTCTTCATCTTTGTCAATTGGTATCGACGTTGAGTGGACCCATGTGTGCGTGCATAAATGTTGTAATCTACAATCGGAATTAAATGTTGTAATCTTAATTATATATATACACAAAAAGTAAAAAAAAATACTCCATATTATCACTTTTCATAAAACTAATAATATAAATTAAAATAAGACTTGACCTAAAGGTCTTAGTAACCAGGTCATAAAATCCCTTAAAAAAAAGTAGTATGTCGAAAAAAGCCCTTGAAAGCAGTTTAATGAAAGGAGCTTACTGCCCGTGGAACATGTTTCTCTATCGTTAATTCCACTGACTTGCATCTCATTTACTAACCCATCTCGTAGGGGACATTAGCTTTCAAAAGTCACATCTACCTAACGTAACTACTCTGCGGCACGGGGGCGTCAGAGTGCGTCATCGTGGTCGGGTCCAGTTCGAAAAGTGTTGCGATCTCCGATGAATGCGGGACAGGGACCAGCTGGTAGGCCGGCTCGCCCGCTTCTAGTGGCCCGTCGCTGTGAAATAAACCTTAACTGTAGTCACATATGGTTCAAATTAATATAATAATGTTAGTGAAGGATGTCACAGAGATGAATATTGCGACAATAACATCGTCACTTCGCACTTATTCAATTTCAACTTACTTGCTGATTCATCACCGCGCATACACCATCCCTTTTTGATAAATAATAATAATTATAACGGCAAAATTACATAAATAAATTAAGAAAATGTAATATGTAATTAAAAACAAAAGTTACAAAATAGTATGTACAAGGCCGCTGTATTGTTATTGGCTTTCCGGATTTCTTGAAGCTTTATTACATACTACCCACACATTTAGTTTTTAAAATTGGTATATATATTTTTTAAAGTTAACCACACCTCACAAGAGTTTTGAAACATTTTAAAAAATATCATTTAAGTATTTCTAAGATTTCTACAAAAAAAAGGTCACAGGTGGGCGCATCATGATTCTCAGCAATGAGGAGGAGGATTTCTACCATATATGAACATATTTGTGTTCAGGTAGTACACGTAAAACCGCAATATGCTACTAACTGTGGGCGGTTGCACGCCTCGGCCGCCAGGTAGTGTCCGGTGGCGAGGTGCTTGAACCTGAAGATGGAGTTCCAGTGTCCAGCGCCGCCGCGGCACGGGTCGTGCTGCACCACCTGGGACAAGGACGCGGGATCTCATCATCGTCACATCATAGCACAATATAACCCACAGACACAGCCCACTGAGTTTCTCGCCGGATCTTCTCAGTGGGTCGCGTTTCCAATCCGGTGGTAGATTCTGCGAAACACTGCTCTTGCTAGGGTTCGTGTTAACAACGTCGTCAGGTTTGAGCCCCATGAGCTCACCTACTAATTAAGGTTACGCTGATATAGCCTCTCAAGGCTCTCAGCTAGGTAGGAAAAAAAAAGCACGATATAGGCGTAATTTAACTGGTGGTAGGACCTCTTGTGAGTCCGCGCGGGTAGGCACCACCACCCTGCCTATTTCTGCCGTATAGCACTAATGCGTTTCGGTTTGAAGAGTGAAGCAGCCGTTGTAATTATACTGAGATTTTAGAACTCATATCTCAAGGTGGGTGGCGGCATTTACGTCGTAGATGTCTATGGGCTCCAGTAACCACTTAACACCAGGTGGGCTGTGAGCTCGTCCACACATCAAAGCAATAAAAAAAATGGATATCATCTGTCATTGACAGGTAAAACCGGCCTCATGATCCATCATGGGCTACGACCGCACTTGCCGGCAGAGAGAGCCATCTCTTGGAAGATAGCAGCACTAACTGAAACTAGCGTGAACAACAACTAACGCCATCTATTTCGAAGCTGACGGACGATATAGAGCGATCAAGATGTTGCTAAAAACTATTATTATTTTTTAAGTGATTTTATGACCTGGTAACTAAGACCTTTAAGTTATGTCTTATTTTAATTTATATTCTTATTTTTATGAAAAATGATAATATGGAGTGAAATGAAATGAAAATGATTAATTTGAGACGTTAATCAACTGGGATGAAATTAAATGAAATGAGGTGATATGGAATGAAATATAATCTAAGTAAAATGGTGGTGGACTTTTTGGAGGATCCCGAGAAGTTGCGTCCAACGGCTTTGTTTAATTTTCCCACATTTGTGCACTTTCACAGGAATTAAAAAGTTAATAAACCACCGTTATTACACATTTAAACCTTAAGAAACACTAAATAGACAAAATAAAACAAATCACACAACTTCACTCCTCGCGTTCCCGCCAAAAAGTCTGCTAAAAATAGTATTGCACGAACCATAGACAATACACATAAACTAGTTATAGATAAATAACTCGAGCACTCAACAAAAATGTTTACAGGCGTCGGCCACTAGATGGCTTCGTTTCGATCAGTTTCTCATTGCTCCTGTAGATGACAGTAACATATTACCTATCCTATATTTTATTTTTAATTAAGGATTTTGTAAATTTTCAGAAACCACTAATTGATAAAATTTAATCAATTTGTCTATAACAAATAAAGACTTGTATGATTTATGATTTTTTTATTTTCTATATTTAGTTACACAAAAATGTCTTAACTTTAATAACATATAAGTTTAGGGGCATCCGCAAAATAAAAAAATAAAAAATTATGTTTTTTTTACCGGATGTGTATGTGATAAAACTATTTACATACCTCAATCTCCCACAGCGCTTTGCTGCTGGTCGCGGCGGTGGCGCTGGATCGACCCGTGGTCCTCAGGAACACGTGCTGCCGTTTCTGGTACTCGTCCATAGTGAGGAACTTCTCTTGCTCTGCATGGAACAGCCTCACCACATCACCACCTTTCAATATCTCCTCCTGGTTCTCTTTGTGCTCGAGAAATAAGGTGACTTTCCAGGATGTGGAGGAATTGACTACGTTCACCTGTGGGAGATATTTGATATATTGTATATTGGGGATCGTAATAAGGAGTACAATGTTTTTGCTTCACGTATTAATATATGGGTTAACAAATTGTATCATATCCTCTTCATCCCCTCATGTCTTCAATTACGAGAGCGGTTGTCTAACCTCCATACAGCCGGCGTTGTCCGGAAGCTCGTGGTTGGAGGAGACGTGCAACACTTGCTGTCCCGCATTCACCGGGTTCATTATCACTTTATCACCGACCACCACATTGTCCCCTGTACACAGAAAATACTACATATTGGTATTAACATTAAGCCATAAAACTACGCAATGGAAATTATCATTAATCGTGCTAAAGCCATAAAGCTACGCAATGGAAATTATCATTAATCGAGCTAAAGTCATAAAGCTACGCAATGGAAATTATCATTAATCGTGCTAAAGTCATAAAACTACGCAATGGAAGTTATCATTAATCGTGCTAAAGTCATAAAGCTACGCAATGGAAATTATCATTAATCGAGCGAAAGTCATAAAACTACGCAATGGAAATTATCATTAATCGTGCGAAAGTCATAAAACTACGCAACGGAAATTATCATTAATCGAGCGAAAGTCATAAAACTACGCAATGGAAATTATCATTAATCGTGCTAAAGGCATAAAACTACGCAATGGAAATTGTCATTAATCGTGCGAAAGTCATAAAACTACGCAATGCAAATTAACATTAATCGAGCGAGTTATGAAACTACGCAATGGAAATTATCATTAATCGTGCTAAAGGCATAAAACTACGCAATGGAAATTGTCATTAATCGTGCTAAAGGCATAAAACCACGCAATGGAAATTGTCATTAATCGTGCTAAAGTCATAAAACTACGCAATGGAAAGTACTAGAAGGGAAAAAATATTGTTTTTTTTTCTTGTTTGAGAAGGTACTGATTTCTGATGTCATTGTGCATGAATTATTTTTGCTAAGTATCATTAAAGTGCACAATGAGCATTGACCATTTTTATTTTTTTTACTATTAAATAACCATTTCATAAGGAACAGGCTAGATGATTGCCTAATAATAATTAATTTTATTAATGAAAAAAAAAATTTAATTACCGATATTAACAATCAACATTTGTTAGCCTCAAATGACGTCATCACTAGCATAACTCAAACAGACACTTTGATTTATTTTTATTAACTCTGTGTACAATATGCGCGTCTGCACGGGTAGGTGACGATTGTTTCGGCTTAACGAATGAGGCAGTCGTTGCACCATAAAATTTCGACCTCATGTCTCAAGGTAAGCGCCAATCACGTTGTGATATATTAAAACTACGTTTACCTCTTAATATCGAGTTTTCATTTTTATTTTTATTTTCATTATATTATTTCGGACATTTCGTATTATTTTATATAGAATTTGGCATTGGGTATACTTTTATATTTATGGTGTATTTTTTGCATTGCTGAGGTCCATGGGTGACGGTAACCACTCACCATCAGTTGGGCCGTATGCTCGTATGCTACGGCAAAAAAAACACAGTATACGTGGTCGCAGAAGACTAGTGATGAATTCAAGCAGTGACGTCACGAGTCAAGTCTACTCACCAGTCGACCGCAATTTGTAGAAAGGCATTACGTAAAACCAGGAGCCCTCATTTCCGTTAGCGTCCAGATGGACCCGCATCGCGTTCTTCTCGAGCAATGCGGGTAGTCGCTTATTTACCTGCAATTATTAACGATGACATTACCAACTGGCAAGGTTCCGTGGACAGTTAAAAGCAAACTAGCATAGAGTCCATCTGAAGGTAGGTGTTAGCAATGCTAAGGACTCAGTGAAGATTCCCGTTTATCGCATGGCACAAAACAGAACCACATTTTTTCATTTATATGTTATATTCATATTACTGGTGATAGGACGTCTTGTGAGTCCGCACGGGTAGGTGCCACCGCCCTGTCTATTCCTGTCGGGAGGCAGTAATGCGTTTCGGGTTGAAGGGTGGGGCAGCCGTTGTAACTATACTGAGACCTTAGAACTTATATCTCATGGTAGGTGGCGGCATTTAGGTTGTAGATGTCTATGGGTTCCGATAACCACTTAACACCAGGTGGGCTGTGAGCTCGTTCATCCATCTATGCAATAAAATAAAATAAAGTTTCTCGACTATAGCCTTCTTTATTTTAACAATACCTTATTCTTACTGGTGGATCAAGTCTCCGAACATTTACGTTATTGATATCTACGGACTCCGGTGATCACTTAACACCAGATGCGTCGTGGGCTCGTCCAATCATCTAAGCAATAAAAAAAGTAGTTGCTAATTGAGCGCATTTATACAGACAAGGCTACTACTACTATTTACATCTGGATTCGAATCGAGCGCATTATAAAGGCAAGGTTACACTCACCGTAAGATACTTGTTGGACTTGACGTGCAGCAGCTGTATGACGCTGCCGTACTGCACGACAGTCCCCAGAAGTTTCTTATTCTCCAAATCGTTCTGCTTCTTCTCGATCTCAGCGGCATGCTGTAACGAATCGGATATCGATATCTTTTCCTATCTCTTCGCTGGTATCCTTTTTTTATGATTGAAGGATTACTGGTGGCCCGGAGGCCTTTCCAGTTTCACCAGGACAGGTGGGCGAGCGAAGGCTCTGCCAAGAGGGCTGGGATTTGCTAACAGTTGACCGAGCGCCTCCGAAGGAGACCTTAAAGCTCAAGAGCAGCTGCTTGAATGAATCTACTACCGGATCGGAATCGCGACCCGCTGAGAAGATCCGGCGAGTAACTCAGCGAGCTGTTTCATGGGCGCTGGTATCCTAAGGGGCTATTCCAACTACGCCCAGACGAGATCGACTTAACTAATATTTATTACGAGCATATGAATATCTTAATCAGAAAATCGTATGGCTGTTGATTGGAACGCCAAATAAGTAATGAATTTTATATTACTTTGTAAGACACGGAATTTAAAGAAAACTTTGAAATAATAAATGTTATTGATTAAGGGTCTGAGGTATTGTTTGATGAATGATGAAACCGTCATCTGTATTTCAACATCGAACCGCTCGAGATCATTTTTGCCGCTCGGAAATGATCTCCACCGTGTTTGTCTAGCGCTATGATGATAGGTCCTTCTACAGCGAAGGTTTGAAAGCAGTCCTGAACGGTATTCGGTAGGCAACGGCTTGGGTCTGCCCCTGGCATTGCTGAAGTCCATAACGGTAACCACTCACCATCAGGTGGGCCGTATGTTAGTCTGCACAAAAAGGCAACAAAAAAAAATGTTTCATTGCTTGGCAGCCCTGTTGATATCCATGTGCGACAGTGACAGACATCAGTATACTAGTAGTCTGCATCAGAAAGAAATTATATTTATAATTATACTAGTCGTACCCGCCCGCTTCGCTGGGCACTTCAAATTATTATTTCTCACCCCCACAAAGATTCTCATCATTAACACCCCCGCAACTGGTGTAGGGAGTCCAACACTCATATAAATATTAGCCTATCCATTAAGTACATGTATTTTCTACATGGATACCAAGTTTCAAGTCAATCGGATGCATGGTTCAGTAGTTATAACGGAACATCCGTAAAAACCACTGTAGATTTATATATTAGTATAGTATATTATTATAGTATAGTATATTATTAGATGTATTCATGATACGATGCATTTACGGGTTGACACCAGTTTGTGGCAAAGATAAAAAATGAAGATGAAGAATTAAACTTTTGTTTTTTTGTGAAGGCGATTCAATCCGTCCGATAAATGTTTTTAGTTAATTATTTATAATCGCAGGTTACAAGCATTTGATATTTTTATTCCCTCACTGGAACCAACATTGAACGATCCGTCTTTTTAATGTTACAATTTGTCATTCTAAATGTTGTGTCATTGGACGTTTTTATGAATACGAAATGTAACGGATATAATATATTGACATTTTATGTTATTATGATTGCTTTATATGCTGTTCTTTGATATGGATTTGTTTTATTATCAGACTCAACTAAAAGTTTTTTTTATTTGTTCTCACATTGTTTATATCAAATACAAAAAAAAAAACGAGCAAATATTTATGGAATTTATTTACATGATCCATTTTAAGGAGCAAGCAGTAAGCTCCGAGTTATAAATAACTAGCTTTTGCCCGCGACTTCATCCGCGTGGAATAATTCACAAATAATGCTTTATTTTAGAACAAATTTGGTTAGTATAAAAAACGTTATAGTGAGCCAACCTTAACATATAGACATATGCTATCGGGGACTTTTTTAGATCTTTTAAAGGGGAACCATTCTGTCATACATTATTTTAGCGAAACTTTAACCGTTTCTGAAGCGCACGCAGCGGAAGCTCTCAAAAATGACCCTGATTTTGAAACATTCTTTATTGGTGCTCCGCTTGTATTGGTCTTAGCGTGATGTTATATAGCCTATAAGCCTTCCTCGATAAATGGGCTATCTAATATCTATCTAATAACACTGAAATAATTTTTCAAATCGGACCAGTAGTTCCTGAGATTCGCGCGTTCAAACAAACAAACTCTTCAGTTTTATAATATTAGTATAGATATCAAATACCAAAAAAAAAAACAAGCAAATATTTATGGCATTTATTTACATGATACATTTTAAAGAGCACGCAGTAAGCTCCGAGTTATAAATAATTTATATGGTCAATATATTTACCACACAATCTTTTAGCTAAAGAATATTTTATCTGTTTTTTTTCTTTTTTCCATACCTATGCGCTGGTAGCTTACAGTGCTATTCCATTTACTCTCGCACTGGGTCAATGTGAGAAAATTTACTATCTGACCTAGCTAGAACAGTACTTCGCAGAATCTACCACTGGATCGGAATCGCGACCCACTGAGAATATCCGGCGAGAAACTCATTGGGTTGTATAAATGCGTTAGTTTGCTTGTCGAATTCTTAGTTGGACGAGAACGATGAGCGGTGGTTAGAAAGTGTAAAAGCACCGAGATTGAATCCGGAGGATCCGACAAGACATATTTTGGAGACGACGGGGACATTGCGTTGCAAATAGTTCATTCCCGATCTTGCGGACCGAATGGTAAACAGTCGACGTCGCCCAAAACACATCATTTCGGATCCTCTCGATCCACTAACGGTACTTTTAGGTACCCCATTCACCAGTTATCGTTCTCGTCGAACCCGTCGCTTTCGACGATGGGCTCGGCAAGTAAATCAACCCACAGACACAGCCCACTGAGTTTCTCGCCGGATCTTCTCAGTGGGTCGTGTTTCTGATCCGGTGGTAGATTCTGCGAAGCACTGCTGTTGCTAGAGTTAGTGTTAGCAACGTCGTCAGGTTTGAGCTCCGTGAGCTCACCTACAAGTTTGGTGAATCTAGAATAACCCTTCGAAGTTACTAGAATAGGTAGGAAAAAAGTTGCTAATAATGATACGTCACCTGGGTCGGGTATGATATTTTATCCAACACCTACACTACAATAGCTATAGTAAAACAATATATGCCCAATGTATTTCGAAACTCATAAACTCTATGTCTAGTACTATAGAGGCGAAATTGGTTCAGATTTGCTTGACGTAGAAGTTGGTAATAATTACGTTATAAAATTCCGTTACATAGATATATAGGCCAATCTAGATGTAATAAATAACAATGCAACAAGCAAATAAAAAAGACGCTTCCGACATTCGCATTCTAGGTTCGAAATTGTTTTTCCTAGAGTTAATCCAGTCTAATAACAAAAGTGATCTCACGCGGTATCATTGTGTTTAGATTCACCTAACGCCCGCTTCGAATCACAGACAAATCCAATAATACCGAAGACTTAATATTTATTTAGAACGTTAAAAATTCGGCCGGATCGTTGATCTTAAATTAGCATTCGGCGAAATTGACTGGAATCGTTTTTAATGCGATGCGTTTTAATGGATAGTTTTTTGGGTCAATCGAAGAACATTGTTTAGATGAAGTCGAAACTGATTTTCACGTGAACATTTTCCAATGGATAAATAAACAAAAACTACGTATTTTGTACTGGTTTAAACTATTCGTTCAACTCGGTCTAGTTTCGTGTTGGATTTTCATAACGCTCTGTGTTCCGTACTGGAAACACTGATCCATTAACGGCACCATAAGCACTGCCCTCGTCGAACCCGTCGCTTGCGACGAAGGGCTCGACGAGCGAATTAACCCATAGACAGCCCACTGAGTTTCTCTCCGGATCTTCTCAGTGGGTCGCGTTTCCGATCCGGTGGTAGATTCTGCGAAGCACTGCTCTTGCTAGGGTCAGTGTTAGCAACACTCCGGTTTGAGCCCCGTGAGCTTACCTACACACTTTAGGGTGAAGCTGAAATAGCCTCTCAAGGCTATTAGAATAAGTAGAAAAAAAAGCTGGAAACACGTGGAATCATTTGTGTAAGCCGCGCCAATAAAGAAACGAATCGAAAATGGCGTCTATGTACCTGCACTGACAGATGGTAGGGTCAACAAATAAAAAGAAAGATAGAAAAAAAAAGTTGTGTAATGTAAAAAAATATAAAAAAACAAATGAGAATATACTTTACTTTACTTTATGCCCTGACAGAGGGGGAGGTGACTTGCATAGACACTTTTGCTGCCAGTCATCTAAGTCGCACAACTCGAAAGTGAAAAAACTCGAACTCAACAAAAAAGTCGGAACTGATATATTTTTTGTATGCAGTACGCGCCGTGTGCGACTAAAGACAGCAATAGTTTAGAGTGAGAGCGCATGATCGCCGCCGCCATTTTAGATTCGTTTCTTTATTGGCGCGGCTTACAATACCAAAATCGTAATTTTTAAATCAATCCTACCCACAGTTGAGTTTAATACAAGCTACGACCCGCACTGCCAGGAACGTGTTATGAGCTTCTTCGGGCACATCATGCGGTCTCCCAGAGATGAATTAGAAGCTCATAATTTCGGGTCGCATAGAGGGCAAGAGCGCCGTGGTCAGAACACCAGTCAGACGGTCAGATCTGGTTAAGGAAACGGTTGGTGGCATTCTATACTATGCTGTCCATGCCACCCATGATCGAACACTGTGGAGGAAAGTCACATGTGCTCGCGATCCTCAGCAGTGAGGGAACAATGAAGAAGAAGAGAAGAACTTCACACAAATCTTTGAACTTTTAAAGATGCTTTTCTTAGGTACACCAATTAAAGATAAACTTACGTGTAACCTCTTCAGCAGTCCGGTGTCCGCGTTAGGGTTCGCAGACTGCTTGGCCGTATTCCAGAACTGCTTTTGAGCCGAGTACCGGTTCATGGGACATATTTTGAACAGGCAATCTGCGATTTATTAAAGCTTAATAAGTAGCTTTATGATGTCGGTAAGCGAAAGCAGCCGTCAACTTTGATATATGAAGTAGAAGCTCCAATTATAATGCCTATCCCAACCTTTCAATTTGCACACTGCACTGATGACAAGATCCGTTCCAATGTACCTATTTCGCTGCTTAGAAAAATATACTGGTGGTAGGACCTCTTGTGAGTCGGCGCGGTTAGGTACCACCACCCTGCCTATTTCTGCCGTGAAGCAGTAATGCGTTTCGGTTTGAAGGGCGGGACAGCCGTTATAACTATACTGAGACCTTAGAACTGATATCTCAAAGTGGGTGGCGCATTTACGTCGTAGATGTCTATGGGCTCCAGTAACCGTTTAAGAACAAGTGGGCTGTGAGCTCGTTCACCCATCTCAGCAATAAAATTGAAATATCAGTTGTATTATAGAACAAGGGTACCGCGTCGAGCCAGAACGTGAGCAATGGTATACAAATTGAAAAGGTACTTCTTTTTATTTATAGTTTGTATTGAGTGGTTACTGGAGTCCATCGACATAAACAGTGACTTCTAAGATTCACTTTCACAATACAACGGCTGCTCCATTATTGAAATTGAAATAGGCAGGGTCTTAGCTCAGTAGACGTCCTACTGGCAGTAAACATAATATTACAGTTTAAGCAAGCAATGCACAGTGTATTTCGATTCTTCTAGAACATTATGGGCGACACGAGACAAATTAAAGAACTTTGGTTCCGTTAATGGCCGATTGTTTTTTTTTTATTTATTTATCATCGTAATTACTTTAATGAATAACCCCCTTAACGTACCTCGGAACTTTTTGGGTGGATCAGTCAGGTCGCCAGCCTCTGGACAGACCACGCACCTGTCATCTACCAACCTAAGGAAGAAATAAAAAATCTATATATTTCAATATCTAAAAACGGCACATAAATCAGTACTTATACAATATTTTTATATATATTTTCCACGAGCGCTAAGCATAATGTGACGTCACTCTATACACCCAAGAATCCTAGTTTGATTAGTAAACTTTTTTTTTTATCAGGCCAGGGATTCCAACTCAATGACAATGGATTTAAAGTACATTTTAAGACGTGCTGTGGAATTTGGAGCTAATAGAAAAAAAAGACAGTATGCGTTTCGGTTTGAAGGGTGGGGCAGCCGTTGTAACTATAATGAGACCTTAGAGCTCATATCTCAAGGTGGGTGGCGGCATTTAAGTTGTAGATGTCTATGGGCTCCAGAAACCACTTAACACCAGTTGGGCTGTGAGCTCGTCCACCCACCCAAGAAAAAAAGTTTCGAAGGTGGGTGGCCTAGTGGATATTGGTACTAACAATAATGCCACGGAGGGTTAATGCATAAGTAATTCCAGTATCTTGATATGCGCGAATTTGTATCGCCAGATCTACACGCGGGTGGGTAGTGCTTCAAAAATCTGTATGTAAATCAAGAATTGAACATAGTTACCCTAAAGTACTGAGGAATCCCGCGACAGTCCCTTCCGCGTAGAGGGAGACAATGTCCCCCAGGTGCAAGAAGCTGTCCCCCATCCTCTTGCCTTCTCCTCTCCCCCACCATGCAACGACACCTGACAACAAAAGAACACAATATAGAATCACCTTCGGATTTCACGAGTCCTTGACGTAATTAAAACTACTTTTACTAGTGTAAGGTTTGCTGTCAAATAACATATACATGTGTTTTTTACTGGTGGTAGGACGTCTTGTGAGTCCGCACGGGTGAGTACCACCACCCATTCTGTCGTGAAGCAGTAATGCGTTTCGGTTTGAAGCGTGGGATAGCCGTTGTACTGTTAAAACTGAGACCTCAGAACTCACGTCTCTAGGTGGGTGGCGGCATTTACGTTGTAGATGTCTATGGGCTCGGGTATCCACTAAACACCAGGTGGGCCGTGAACTCGACCGCCCATCTAAGCAATAAAAAATACATATGTAATATACAAAATTAGCACGTTCAAACTAAGACAATTTTCGGATTGACATGTGGCAACACTGTTGGTGACAGAGATGACGGTAGTGGAGACGAGGAATATTAATAAAAACTGCGGTGAACGAAGTAGAGGGAGCAGCATAGATAATACACATAAATTAGTTATAGATAAGCAACTCAAGCACTCAACAAAAATGTTTACGGGCGTCAGCCACTAGATGGCTTCACTTCGATTAGTTTCGCATTGCTCCTATAGATGGCAGTAGCATATTAACTATCCTATATTTTATTTTTAATGAAGGATTTTGTACATTTTCTGAAACCACTAAATGATAAAATTTTATCAATTTGTCTGCAACAAATAAAGACTTGTATGATTTTATTAACTTTTTATTTTCTGTGTTTCGTTATACAATAATTAAATGCCTTAACTTTAACAACATATAAGTTTAGGGGCATCCGCTACAAGATGTCGATAGTTTCCATACAAAAAGGAATATTTGTCTTTAAGAATTCAAATTCAAATTCAAAATGTGAGATGTCGGTAATAATATATATTTAAAAAAAAACGCGAGATTAAACCGTAAAATTAAGAACATAAGAATAATAATAATTTTGTATGTTTGTATGTATATTTTAATATAATTTTCTGTTTCGCAGCAAAAAGTAAGGGCGGTAATATACATCCCATGTAGGCTCGTAGTGAACAAGCACTAGTGAGAGTGAATCACGTGTGGTATCACGCAGCTGGCGCTCTTATTCTTTAGCCTTTTACGAAATTCTCAGGTCACCGTTCTCGTCGAATCAGTCGCTTGCGACGAAGGGTTCGGCGAGTAACCTAACCCATAGACACAGCCCACTGAGTTTCTCGCGGGATCTTCTCGGTGGGTCGCGTTTCCGATCCGGTGGTAGATTCTGCGAAGCACTGCTCTTGCTAGACCAGTGTTAGCAACACCTCCGGTTTGAACCCCGAGAGCTCACCTACACGCTAGGGAATAAAAACCTAATTCAAACGATGATCCACTCTTGTTATTTTTTACTTTAACGCGGGTGATCTCATGTAACATAACTTGTTATCATTCAACTTAAAAGCTTCCGTAACTTACACTAGGCACTTACGCGTTTTAAACTTTCGACACCATAAAAAGTGGGTGCTTTTGTGAATTCATAATGGACACCACACCAAAATGTTTTTAGCTTTGAAACTTAAAGTCATTATGCGAATGCATGTTAGACTTATGTTGCTTTTATCTTAAGGCGCAATAATTTTAATAAAATATAAATACAATGTAGGAGGCGCATTTACGTTATAGATGTCTATGAGCTCCAGTAACCACTTAACACCAAGTGGGCTGTGAGCACGTCCACACATCTAAGCAATAATAAAAAAAAGATAGGTATTTCGTCGTAAACAATGATACCTTCCGTTGGATTTTACCATACCTTACCGCTTAAGGCACGGAGGTTTTCTTTAAACTATTATACAAATAATCACAACAAAAACACTGTCAAACTTTTCCATGTTAATAATGTTGTAAGTTAATTAAATTTATCATGGTCAATCTAGCCATGAAACGTTACTGATTCCGCGATAAAAATAATAACACCTACATCATTAAATTTTGATGGACACGAAATTTTAATGGAGATAAAACATTCCAACATTTTAGTGTTTTTTGAGCAGCCAATGTAGTCTTTCTTTTTTGATTTTGTATAATACGTACACTTAAATTCCAAACAGTGCCACGGAAAATTGAATAGCTTCCGTTATTAAGCAATATAGCTGGTTGAACCTTAGAACCGAAGTATTTGAGTTCGCTAATGCAGTATGAGTGTATGCAACCGTCAGCTGTGACATTGATAATGTCAACACATTGTACTAGTGTCAAGGCGTATTGTTAAATTGCACGCTTTGATACGACCGCCTTTTGTCTGCGGAGCTATATCTCACCATTTATTACTGGTGGTAGGACCTCTTGTGAGTCCACACGGGTAGGTACCACCACCCTGCCTATTTCTGCCGTGAAGCAGTAATGCGTTTCGGTTTGAAGGGTGGGGCAGCCGTTGTATCTATACTTGAGACCTTAGAACTTATATCTCAAGGTGGGTGGCGCATTTACGTTGTAGATGTCTATGGGCTCCAGTAACCACTTAACATCAGGTGGGCTGTGAGCTCGTCCACCCATCTAAGCAATAAGGTTTCAAATAACCAAATAAATCAATGGAAGTAAGTTGTCATATTATTATTACGTCTATCTGCCTATATAATATTTTTATTTGCCTCAATAACAAGCTGAATTTTGGTAATACGGTAAATTGTTATCGGCAACAAAAACTTGGTGATTTCCAATGTGTCATATCCGACTACCCACCTTTCAAAATATCTAATGATTGATGATCTACACAGTCTTCGATAGTTAAAAATTATAAAGGGGGTTCATGATAGAATGGATATATTATTTAAGCAGGTTACGACAAAAATATCTTCCAACGAGCCAGAGAAATTGCTCGGTAGACCAAAAGTTCGGAACTTGTATATACGTATGCGAAGCTTAAAATTTTCGTTAGCTACATTCAAACGTCTGTCAAATATCCTGTGTTCTATGATAGTTATCATCACACCCTGTGAGCATGATAAGCAAAGTAACACCCAAACCCAAATATATGTGATACAAGTTCATGAAAACCGGTCCTTGTTGAAGAATCCTGGAAGGTTCACTTCACCGTCTTTTTAATTAGTCTTAGTTCTCTAGGATCCTACTGTACGAGTGGTATATTCGAGGCAAAGCTTTCCATAGAATTCAAGGAACGCACTAATGGAAAAAAGACTATTTCCGATGCAATGTATATTTCATTAAAGAAAACCGGTCCTTGTTGAAGAATCCTGGAAGGTTCACTTCACCGTCTTTTTAATTAGTCTTAGTTCTCTAGGATCCTACTGTACGAGTGGTATATTCGAGGCAAAGCTTTCCATAGAATTCAAGGAATGCACTAATGGAAAAAAGACTATTTCCGATGCAATGTATATTTCATTAAAGAAAACCGGTCCTTGTTGAAGAATCCTGGAAGGTTCATTTCACCGTCTTTTTAATTAGTCTTAGTTCTCTAGGATCCTACTGTACGAGTGGTATATTCGAGGCAAAGCTTTCCATAGAATTCAAGGAATGCACTAATGGAAAAAAGACTATTTCCGATGCAATGTATATTTCATTAAAGAAAACCGGTCCTTGTTGAAGAATCCTGGAAGGTTCACTTCACCGTCTTTTTAATTAGTCTTAGTTCTCTAGGATCCTACTGTACGAGTGGTATATTCGAGGCAAAGCTTTCCATAGAATTCAAGGAACGCACTTATGGAAAAAAAGACTATTTTCGATACAATGTATATTTCATTAGGCACGCTTCACGATGCGCGTTATCAGATCAACATCGAGATGTTCCGATCGTTACGTCGAGATAAAACACATGCAACCGACACAAAATGTAGCTTAATTTGTTTCTAAATTACTATTGCAACTTGATTTCGTAGACATTTCCAATTATTGCTGTAAGAATAGTCATGTTGATATGGCTGGGTGGAGATGTAGAGACAACGACTGTTTGTACAGAGCATAGATAATACACATAAACTAGTTATAGATAAGCAACTCAAGCACAAAAATGTTTACGGGCGTCGGCCACTAGATGGCCTCGCTTCGATTAGTTTCTCATTGCTCCTGTAGATGGCAGTAACATATTGCCTATCCTATATTTTATTTTTAATGAAGGATTTTGTACATTTTCAGAAACCACTAATTGATAAAATTTAATCAATTTGTCTATAACAAATAAAGACTTGTATGATTTATATTTTATTTTATTTTATGTATTTAGTTACACAATAATTAAATGTCTTAACTATAACAACGGATAAGTTTAAGGGCATCCGCTACAAGATGTCGATAGTTTCCATACAAGAAAAATATTTTTCTTAAAGTATTCAGGTTTCACACGCAGTTTCAGGGCCCTGGTACCAGAGTTATTTAATGGAATGTGTCACGCGCAAAAACCTTATACGAATGTGTGGTTGGACAACTTCACAAAGTTCGTCACAAGTTCAATGCTAGCCGTTTCCAAGCCGTGCCTTTAGACAGTTATGAGAAGAGCTTCAACATTATTTTGCCCATAAGTTTCTTACTGGGCCATTATAACGACTTTTTTATTGAAGGAATTTTTAATTAATGAAAATAAAAACATGAACGGAGAACCGTGATTTTCAATTGTATGTATTGGTATTACAGCTGCTTTTTGGAAGAATCAAGAAGTTAGCACACATGTATCTATTCTTGCAGTACAGTACCTTGATGAAAGATATTCATTACACATTGTTTTATTTATATATTCTGTACCTCAGAATTTGAATTCGGTTATTACTTTGTATGAATACCGGGCGTCTTATATATTTTATCAGACTTCAAACGGTCATTGCCCCTGATACTGATACATATAATAATATATGATTACAAGTTCTAATAACAACACAAGTTTGACATACACTTACCCATTCACACGGTAATGAGCTGTACGTCGTTCAATACAACTCTATAAGCTTCATTAGCAGTTTAAGCATATCACACACGAAATAGAACATATGGAGTACAA